AATCGGGTAACGAACTTCTCCGAACGTTAAGGAGACAGACGCACTGATGCTCAAGTTCTGAACTCCCGCCCAGGGGAGGAGAAACCAGGTAGCCCTTGGATGTCGGGGTTCTGCGACCCCTTGAAGCCATGGAAGGGTTGTGTGTATTGCGGGCATATTTTATTGGGGAGAGGGAGTGTCCATGCCAGTCCTGCAAGAAATCCCTGGATCCAAAAGAGAGCCGTCTGGGAACAGAGAGCCGCCTCAAGGGCGGCTCCACGGGACCCTGGTGTCTGGAGGCGGGGGACACGCCTGGCCTTTTTCGTGGCCCTAGCCACGTGGGGTGAAAGACGACGCCTGGGGAGGGGAGCAGGAAAGGATTTTCCATAGAATAGGCCTGGCCAGTAGGACTCCAGTATGGGGCGTTGGGTATGAAAGAAGAGGGGAACAAACCACAGAACGTTGTGGCGAATGGTTGGGTATTTGCAAGCGCGAAGCCGAAGCCGCGCCTTCTCACTTTCCGGTCCTGGAGCACCGAAGAGACCAAGGGGATCCTACCCGGCGGGCAGGGGAGATGGACGAGAAGCCGCGGTCCAAGCCGAGCCGACTGACCAGCGCGCACGGCCGCGGAGAGCTCGAGCGCCCGGCGACGCGCCCCTCCTTCATTAGCTTCCCCTCCACGCGGCGCTGCCTCGGAAAATAAGTTAGCAAACGGGGAGCCGTTTATCTCTTTTATCTTGGGGCCTGATCCAATTAAATAAGTGCACATTTACATTTGCATCCATCAGGCGGGAGCGCTGAGAGCCCGGGGTTTGCTCGGAGCAAATAAAAGCAGATTTCACTGGGAAAAGTGGCGTCTGGGAGCGCCCGGCTCCTCCGAGCGCCGGAAACGAGCGCGGCCTGGAGGGCGGTCTTGGGGACCTAGGGTTGGGGCTTGAGGCCGACTGGAGGCCAGAGATCCCCAACGGCCCTGAGGGGCCCCGGTCAGGGCGGGGTGTGCAGCCGGAACTGCTGCCTGGCCCCCGAGGCGATCGTGTTAGGCCACAAACGGCCCCACCTGGTGCCTGGGACCCAAGTCGCATTTAGAGCGAAAACGAAAAGGAGATCCGCTCCGGCCTGGTCCAAAAGGGAGACCCACCGGGTGGGTCTATGGACAGTCCGGCAGCTTTGGCCAGTTTAGGGGGAAGAGCAGGGGGCAAGATCCGGGTCCGGCCGATTTCCCTCCTATTCGGCGACCGAGAGGCAACGGAATGCGAAGAGCCAAACAGAGGGCGCGCCTCCCGCTGCCCTCCAACGTCTTGGCCCGACGGGAGACCAGGGGACACCTTCAGAAGGGGTGGAGGGCATGTCCAGGTGAGCACCTCCAGCTTTGCCACGCCAACCTTGTTAAAGATGCGCTAGAGATCGGGTTTGAAGAATTCGAGGGTAGTTTTATTTTTCCCTTGCCTAAAGATGTCTAACCCACAGGCCAAATGCTAGAAATGATATTTGGGGGTGGGGGGGGCGCGGCTGCGTGGTAGACCCCGCGACGTGCCAAACCGCAAATAAAAAACTGTGCGGGGGCCCAGAGGCCGGGCGTGGGAAGGCCCGCAGAAACGGAATGCGTGCCCCTAAAGCCGAGCGGGGGCATCTGAAATGCCCGGGCTGCGCGGGGCGGCGGCCCCCACCGGAAGGCTGCTCCGGCCGCCCGCAGGTTGCTCAACTGCCTGCCGCTGGTTAGTAAAAGACTGTGCTCCAGCCGTGGCAGGCATCTGCAGGGTTAATCCTCTTTTGGTCGCAGGCCCTGCTTCCCGAATCCCCAGTGTTAACTGGGCTCTGGGTCCCAGGCCTGAGCCAGTGGGATGGCGGGGCAATTTACATTTGACCCTCTTGGGGTCCAGAGCTAAGGACCCCGCGGCGGGGGGGGGTGGTGAGGGGGCATGGCCGGGTGTCGCCTAACTCCTCCTCTCTGCGAGCCGCAGGGCGCCCGGGGACCAGTAGGCGGCGCCCTTCCTGAACTGCATCCGCCTGCGTCTCCCTCTTGGGAGCGCAAGCACATTCCTTTCACTTTGGGCGCTTTGCAAGGGCATTATTTTGTGTCTCTGCCCGCGGTTGGCAGCTTGTGAGGCGGGACAGGTGGGCTGGTAGGCACCACCAGTTCTGAAACCGCACGCAAGACCACCTTACCCCAGCCCCTCAATCTTCCAGGCTCCAAGAGTTGCGTACATCTCGGGGGAAATGAGAGGGCCCCGAGGGGTTTGCAACCAGGAGGCCTCGACGAAGGCTCCTCACCCAGGCCTAAGAACAACAGTTCGGGCCCTGGGCCCCGGATCCGAGGAGTGGGTAGGAAAAAGGGCCCTTTCTGCAATCTCAACCTCTTTGAGCCCTCGGGGACTGACTGGGCTGTTGGCTTCTCACCCCAAATCCCAGAAGCTGATTCCGCCGCGTACAGAAAGGAAAAGGGAAGAAACCCGGCGGGTCTCCGGTTTGGAGCTGCCTCGGTGAGGGTGGCGGGGGCTGACTGCAGGGACCCCACTCAATGATCCCGCGGCCTCCGTTGCTGGACTCAGCAACTCTTACCCACCGCCCCTTGCAGAGAGCATCGCCTTCGACACGGTCCAAGATGCGGCCAAGCAGAGGCTCAGAGGCTCTAGGAGGGACTTGAAACTTTACCGACAAGCCACTACTTCTGGGATTAAACGCGGGAGACATGTCTTAACCGCACATACCTCGATCCTCCCGGCAGGCTGCCCCCAAACTGAAAAGTCTCTACACACCAGAAAAACCACTGGTCAGCGAACCCCAGCTCTGCAAAGGAGAAAACCCTAAACTTAATTTGGGGCTTGTACTTAGGGCGAAGTACGCAAAGAAAACTCTAGAGGCCAAGGTAGGAGGGATGCGGGCAGGGGACAGCGAATTTGGGCATCAGCCTTCCAACCTCTGGCGGTTTCGCTGCCCAGCTGGAGGCGCTTCCCGCAGCCCCTCGTTGGGGAGAAATGCCGCAGGCTCCCCGGTGCGCGGCTCCCGTTCCCAGGCAGCCCCCGCGGGCAATCGGCTCCCAGCCCCGAGCCTCGGCAATCAGACCCGGGAGGCCCGCGCCTCGCCATTTGCATATTCCCGGGAACACAAGGAGGCCTGTAATTTTCTTTTTAAAATCACTGGGCAGGGTTTAGGGCCAGTGCTTCCAAATCCCGCAGAGTTGATGTCGTCCTTAAACTCTCTCTTAAGAGAAGGGAACTGGCCTATTCTTCTGACTTTTTTAGAAGAGAAGGTGATTCCTGGGGTTGCATATTCAACAGGGGGGGGGGGGCTGATTGTGAACCGCGCTGTGTGTGCGGGGGGCAGTTGTCGATGGAGGGGATTGGAGCGCGGGGGGTAGGCAAGTCATCTCTGGAATTCAATTGTTTAAAAAAAAATCATTTATAATTAAAGGGACAAAGTAAAATACGGTCGTCTCATGCATATTTAATCATTCACACTTCCAACTTTGAAACCATTTTCCCTGCGTGAATTTTCTCACTAATTTAAACTCTGAAGTCGACTGCTGTTCACCAAAACATCTGGACAATGCTGCTTTCAAACTTGTTTAAATTCGAATAAGCTAAAGGAGCCCCGTTGCAGGTTTAAAGGAAAAAGGGAAAGTAGCAAAAGTAAAAACTCCGGTGAAAGTTTGGGCGGTGTTTAAAAAACCAACTAGGGTTAAAGTAGTCTTGAGTAGAAATGCAAATATGTGCATTTTGATTTAGCCTAATTAAACCGGTGTTATGTGCAAACACATTCTCTCTATACTCAGGCTTGGGTTTAATAGAGCAAATTAATTCCCCTCGCTGGCGTATGTTTTTGCTCTAAAGCCTCCCCTTCCCCGACCAGTGAAAATTTCCCACGAAATTCCACACGTCCGCGACTCTCCATCTCCAGCGCCAAATGCAGACTGGAGCACCGACAGTGCTAGCGGGCCTCGGGCGCAGGGCCGTTTCTCTTCCTCGTTTGGGATTGAGACCCGACCTGACTTCGTTTTGAGATGAAATGTGCCGGATTAAACGGAGAAAACAAAACCTCAGAAATACTTTTGCAGCTACTCGGGACTCTTGAATCCGCGATGGGAGAAGTGCTAAGGTGACGACAAGCCTGATCAAGTCCACAACGGCCTCATTTTCAAGGCAAACGTCCTTTAACTGCTGAATGCCTCTTGTCCAAAAAGGGGGTCCGTGGGGTGGGGCGGGGGACTCTTCTGGTCCATCCGGGGCTCCCCTTGCTTCCCCCAAGCGCCTGTGGTGCTCCCTCCCCCACTTCCGCCCCCTCTCTCCAATCTCCGACTCTGCAAAGTGCAGGCTTGTAATTCAGGACAAGTGTGACACCTACCTGTGAAAGGGGGTAACCATCCCCTCGCTGGTCCCGCGGCCCCAGCCCCGCGGCTCCGCGGGGAATCTACCAGGCCGCCTACCACCCGCACGATCGCGGATGGAACATTTACTAATTTAATCAAATCCAGCGAAGAGATCAATGCCCAATTTTGAAGGGGTAGAAACGACAGTGACTTGGGAAAGCCTTCTCCTTGGCATCCCCCAACTGCTTCCCGCCCGCATTAGCCCAGAGCACCTTTGAAATAGTAATAAGGGCTAAATCCGGCATAAAATCGAACTCATTAGCAAAGTTCACCAGCTGATTGCTTTGCATAAAACACGACACTGATTGGAAGTAATTAGGTTAAGCGTTGGAGCTCGGGTGGTGCGTGTCTCTAACTGGCTTTGCCATCTCTTCTCCCTTCTGGGCACACACTTGGGTCTCTCTCGTCCCTCCTCCAGGGTCCAATCACCCCCCACCCCCACCCCCAGAGCAGCCCGCATCAGTGATCCAAATTTGCATTCCGGGCAGGGCCAAGTTCCCTGGAGCTCGAAGCCTAATTACGGTTTCCCGCTGGCAAACTGGGTTCGGTGGAACCTTTCATTCCCCAATTCGGAAAAAAAAGTTGCAGTTTGCACCTTTTGTCCAGGGCGATGGACAGTTTATTGAGGCTTCTAACAAGTAATGAGTGGCTCTGATTATGTTAAAATCTCTTTTAATTAAATATTTTGCATTTTACAAAGGCGGCTGCAGTTTCTTTTACTTTTCAAATCTAAGAGTATAACCTGTTTCCTTTCTGTAATAATACTTTAGCTCATACCCAGAAAAAAAATCAATAGGTGTAAAAAAATTAAATTAAACTTGTATTTTTAAACTATGAAACAGTTTTGGGGGAAACACAAATGTATATATTTATATTACAAAAAAACATTAAATGCCTGTACAGGTGTCTTAATTTCATAATTTACTTCAAAGATATTGAATTATCAATTTAAATACAAAAATGCTACATTAAATATACAGAATAAGATTTAATACAAATCCTTTTTTAAATTTTCTTTTCAGTTGGTTAAGACATTTCTGTGGGTGTGTGGAGATGTTTACATTTTTATATCATCCATCTCCATGTACTATAAACTTTTTAGTAGGAGGGGTAGTTTTGCTTTTCTCTCATGTTGATGGAAAAATAACTGCCAAGGCCATGTTTTCTTTTTTAATAAATTAGGAAAGTCCGGGACCGACGCAGCCCGCGTTAAATGTCGGACATACCTTTCTTCAATTCATAGGGAGAGTCTTTGCACAGGTCTAGCTGGGACTGGCTCCGCAACATTTTCGGGTCTTTAGCCAAAGCGTCCGCTCGGTTCAACACGGTCTGGTTTAATCCATTGAAATGCGAGCCCGGACCCGTGGTGGGGCCTGGCCCGGGCCCCGGGTGGCCGTGAAGGTGTCCGAAGGAGCCATAGTTCGTGTAGCCAGGATAGAAGGGCGCCGTGTAGTAGAGAGGCCGGGACAGCACCGTCCCGCCTGGGAAGGGACACTGCGCCGAGGGCGAGCGCGATGGCGCCGGGGCTGGCGACGCGCGGCTGCCTCCTAGGGCTTGCCCGGCTACGGGCCCGGGGCACGGTGGGCACGGAGAGCCCTCGCTCCCGCCGCCCCCGTCCTTGACCTTGTCCGAGGATGTGGCGATCTCCGCCAGAGACCACAGTTTGGGCTTGGCGAGCACCGCCTGCGGCGGCGGCGGCGGCGGCGAGTGTATGACCGAGGGCCCTCCGGGACCGGGGGGCAGCTCTCCCGCGGCACGGGGGGGCCCGGGCAGCGCGTCGAGGCGGCCCTCGGATGGCGGCTCCTTAAAATCCGAGTCGCTGAGGCTGCCCTCTGTCTCCTTGCCGGCAGGGGTGGGCGGCCCCTGCAGCCGTTCGCAGCCAGAAACCGCCTTTTGCTCTGCTCCTCCTGCGGGTGAAACCCAGGCGGTCAGAGGCGCGGAGGCCACAGGTCCCCACCCGCAAAGGCAAAAAGCCCTGTCCCCAACCTCCAGGCCATGGGCGCCCCCTCTCCAGGCCCCTCTTGGGCTCCACACACCCTTTCCCGCGTCCACCAACCTGCTTCGGGGCCCTCGGGGTCGCCCTTGTCCTCGGGCTTCTGGGGCTCATCCTCGTCGTTCTTCTCCAGATCAATGTTCTCCTCCTCCTCCTCGTCCTCGCTGCGGTTCCGCGGCGTCCACGTCATCTTGTTCTCCTTCTTGAGGCGCCGGCGCGCGTTGGCGAACCAGGTGGACACCTGGGTGAGGGTCATCTTGGTGATGATGGCCAGCATGATCTTCTCGCCCTTGGTGGGGTAGGGGTTCTTGCGGTGCTCGTTGAGCCAGGCCTTGAGCGTAGCGGTGGCGTCTCGCGTGGCGTTCTTCCGGTACGCGGGGTCCCCGTAGGGGTACGAGCCCAGGGGCGCCGCATACGGGTGGTACCCCAAGGAACCTGCCATGCCCGGTGTATGGTCGTAGGGAGAGCCCTGCAGGGAGCGGGCAGAGAGAACGTGAGAGTGGGCCGACGTCCCCAGGAGCCACCTGGGCGACCGAAGTGCACTTCCCCTGCGCCCAGGGGTCTTCGGGCAGCGAGGCCCGCACTCAGGCTTCCCCTGGGGTAGGGCTGGAGGGCTCAGACCCTGGGGCAACCCCTCTTCCTCCTTAGAAGGAAGCGGAGGCCGCCAATCCCTGAGTCCTTGGAGGCGCTTGGAGCAGTCCTGGCTTCCCTGGCACCTGGTAGGCCCCCCTCGGGCTGGGCACGTCCTCCCCCGCGTGAGCAGATCCGGCCACCGAGGCCAGGCCCCTCTACCCAGAGAAAGGCCCGGGCAGCGGCACTGACTCTGCTCTCTGCGCCCGAGTGGCTGCGCAGTAGAAACAAGGGTAGTGAGCAAAGGAAGTCAAGGAATTTTTTTCCCCCACAGAGAAAGGCAAACGAAGAGCCAAGCCTTGTCCCTGCACTCCCACCCCTCCAAAAGTGTTACCCCAAACCGAAGCCACGGCGCTTCTCCAGAAAGTGCACCCGGCCGAAAAATCCCGGATGCACCGCAGCTCGCCCGACTTTTCAGAAATTTAATACCTCCAAATCGGATTGCGAAGATAGGATTACGGATTTGCAACATTTTGGAGGACTAATTAAAGGCGAGGCCAAACACATTTACACAGACCGAGCACGCTTCTGTTCAGATTTCGGATCTATTTCTTTTGAACTACTTTTCGCCAAATGGCCGAACCCCCCAAAATGAAATAGAGTAAAATGTGCAGGACGGCCTAGAGCTCACGTTTGAACCAAATGTTGCTCTTTGAAGCGACCTCTCCCCCCAAAAAAACCCCTTCCGCCAAGTTAGCGATCCGAGCAGGACGCGGCTCTCCGCTCCGTGCAACTCCTGAGCCCGAGACCCGGGCGAAGCCGAGAGAGACAATCACCCAAGTTCGCAGGGGCCGCGAGGCTCGGCGGGACGGTCCGCGGTGAAGCCGAGGCCCGTGTTCCCCGCAGCCCCCGCCCGCCCCGCGCGGCCCCAGCTGCCCTCGCCCGCCCAGGCTCCCGCTCACTTACCACGTACGAGGAGAAGGCGGCGGCGGCTGCCGCCGCGGGGTCGGCGCCGTACTGGAGGTGCGAGTTGTAACCCGGCGAGGGCGCCGTGAAGGCGGTGGAGCCGGCGTAGGGCGAGAACGCGGAGCCCGACGACGAGCGGCCGAGCTCATCCGTGCGGGGCCCCGAGATGACGCTGGTGCTGTACGCCGGGCAGGAGTAGAGCGCCAGCGAGGCGGACGGCTGGTACAAGTAGCCCTGCGGGTAGGACATGGCCACACACGGGCATGGGGCGCTCCGCGCCGCGGCCGCCAACGAGCCGGGCGGCGCCCTGCGAGGGCGAACGGGCGGGCACCTGGTCTCCGGCTGCCCCGGGCCGCCGCTCCTCGGGCCCCGGCTCCCAGGCTCCGGCCCGCGGCGCCTCCTCGCTGGCTTCCCGCGCGCCTCCGGCCGCGACCGATGAGCCCGCTCCTCTGCGCGCCTAGCTCGCCCCGGCAGGGTTTCCCCCCCCTCCCTTGTTGCTTTCTCTTTTTCCCCCTCGCTCTTTGCACTGGGGGGCTCCGCTTTTGGCTTCGCAAAGGTCCTGCCAAGATGCTAAGTTGGAAATTGAGGATTCTGACGCCTTGTGCGCGCCTGAAGCTCCTCCTTCCCGGGGTGTAGTCGGTGGGAGGACTGGCAGGAGCCTCTGGGCGGCCGCAGCCAACCCGGCCGCCAGGCGCTCCTCGTCCTCTCCCTCTTCCTCCCCGGCTCCCTCTCCCGCTCGCTGGCGCGCCCCTCGCCCCTCCCTAGCGCCCGCCTCTCCTCCGCGGCCCTCCTCTCCCCCCTCCTCTTATTCCCCCCCCTCCCCTCATCGGTCTCTCCCTCTCTCTCACTCAGACTCTCGAGCGCCGGCCCCAGGATGACAATCATATCCCAGGCGCGAAGATCTCTTCCAACTTTCCTCCCCTGCTAAGTCGGGGAGGCGGAGCGGCGGTTCCGACACAAGCGGGTCCTGATGGCCGGTCCGCCGTTCCGAAGCACAAAGGGAACGAGGCAGCGGACCGCGCGCCAGCGAACGCTCTGCTTTTTCTACGCCACAGTAAATCGCGGAGTTAGCGGATTTCTTGTTCGCGAGGAGGCTGGGCTCCAAAGCGGATCGCCGTCCACCCTCCTCTGGCTTCTCCCCCTAGTTAAAGGACCAACGAGAGAGCTGGAGACCAGGAATGAAGGCCCCTGAATGAGGGGAGAGCCGGATGGATGCCAGCGTTCAGGGCGCTGGGAGGCCGGGGTGACTGTCCTTCTCCGCCAGCAGCAGCAGGTGGGCGAGAGACAGGCCTTGGACATCTGCACGTCTCCGGTTCAGCCTCCCTTCCACCAACTCCCCGCCAGACGGCGAGGGAGGAGACACTGGGGACCCAGTACTACGGGGGGAGCCTTTTCTCTAGAGAGGTTGTGGGCAAGAACTGCCAGACGGAGAGGCAGCTACACCGGAGTAGGTCTCTGGACTCCATTACTCCCTCTCCCGCAATGACTCGCTGCCCCTTTCTTGGGGCTTTGCATCACCGGCTGCTCTCCCCGCCAGGCCGGCGGCGACGGCGGTGGAGAGTGCGGGGTCCTCTTGCCGTTCGCACGCACTCTCGCTCGCACCCGCCCACGCTCCACCGCTAGCAGTCGGCGGAGGAGTAACCAACCCAACCACTGTTTGTTCAGCGAGGCGCTGGCAAGGCAAACACAACTGAGTCACAGGCCGAGTCCTTGCCCACGAAGGCCACACAGAATACAAAACAGACCTTTTGCCTGTCTCTACACCCAGCGCCGCCGCAAGCCACAGAAGCACTCGAACTCTGGGACAGACAGGGGCGCTGGTGAACCAGGACAGGGGCTGGCACAGTGTTGGGCACTCCAGTAGATCAGGGACTTTGTGGCTTTTATAATGCAGTCACACGGAAGCCGAAGTATGCCTAGACACAAAGTTTCCCTCAATGACTCTGACAGTCGAGATACTCTTTTATTTCCTAAGTTCCAGCAGGGTCTGGCACACAAGCCTACTCTCCCCACCCGCACTCTCGGCAGCGCGACTTCACGCACGCGCGCAGACTCCTCCCCCCCATCAGTTCTCCCAGGCTCCGCCCCTCAGGCGGATATTCTCCTACAACTTCGGAAATCGCCCGGCCCTATCCCTCCCTGCCTTCACCTCTAATTGGACGCTGGCCTCTATGGGCTCCGCCCCTCGGCGACGTAAGCCCGCTTCCCTCAGAGTCTAGGCGCCGAGTGGGCGGGGCGGGGCGGGGCGTCGTCGCCCTATTGTCATGGAGACGGGAAGCCGGCGGTGGCGGTGGCGGGCACAGCCCAGCTGAGGTGGCAGCGAACCGGCCGCGACTGAGGCGAAGCCGAGCAGCCCCGAGCGCGCGGAGCCGACCGCTGGCGGCCTCTCAGGCAGCCAAGGGGGCAATGTCCTCCGGGGCTCGGGCTAGGCCGGGGTGATCGCGGGGAGTGCCCAGGAGCGTCCCCGCCCTGCTCGCGTCGCTCCCGCTCTGGCGGCCCTTCAGCTCCAACACACACACACACACACACACACACACACCATATTTACAACTCCTTCCCGCGCCTCCACCCCCGGTTTTCTAATACTGTCTTCTTTTTGGTGTCAAGGACTTGGAGAGAATCCTGGAAGATATTGAAGCATTTAGAATTTATGGTTCTGTTGCTGTGGTTGTCACCTCCGCTCTGCGTCAAATTTGAGACTCATTTCTTAAGGATGTCTCTATTTTCTGCTTTATTTGCACATTGATGGCTCTGCTGCTCGGCTGGCCACCGCCGCCCGGCGTCTGATATAGACTCGTGTTAATATGCGAGAGGGAAGATCTGATTATTAGCAGGCAGGCGGGTAGCATCTGGCGGGTTTTCTCCGTTTTCATGTGAAAGCTTTCCGTTTTTGCTGGTAAACCCGAGGTTTTAACTTTTAGCCTTGGATGCGTTCCTTTCTCTCCCCTCCTTCTTTTCCCCCCTTTATTCATCAGCTTTCCAGTTTGGAGTCTGCTTACTTTTAGCAGTAGTTTAACTCATCTCCTGTCACTGAAGCTTCCCACCCGCCCGCCCCCCGCCCGGCAGGCAGGAACTAACTCCCTCTGGTTCCAATTACTAAGACGACTCTTTTTCTTTTCCGCTTACAAGTGCATTTGTATCTTTCTGAACATTTGCACTTAGGTTAGGGCTAGGCATGCCTTGATCTTAATGAAAGACTTTAAAACATTCTAATTTTAAAACTTCCTAAGGGTTTATTGGTTTGTCATGTCTGCGCGGATCCTGTTACGCATTACTCTTAAAATTTAGAGCTTTAAAATAACACACAATTGTATTGCTAAGACATGGCGTGGAGCTTGCTCTTAGAGTTTTGGCTGTACAGTTGTCATTGTTTAAATCAAGTGCAAAAGAGGGTATTCCTGTTTATTTAGTGTAATAACTTTTTACAGTAAAAACTTTAAAGACTTATAAAAGTAGATCTGCTGTATTTTAAAGATCTCATCATTCTTGTGGGAGAGACACAACACTGAGGCTAGGAAAGGCAACAGATTGCTTCTGTCATATCGCTTTGCTGTTTTGGAGTGTACTTAAGGATTATGATTGATAAGGCTGTCTTGCCAGAGAATGTTGACACAGGTGTGCATCGTTATCTTAATTAAGATCCTGAGAAAATGTTGTCTATAAAATGGTGACATAAGAAGGGCGGCATATTTTTGTACAGTTTTGCTTCTGGAGAATTTAATTGCACTAGAAATCTGTCTTTGAGTTCCAAATTTTGTGAGCACTTTGGCAGTACAAGTTTGAGAGAAATGATAGTTCAATGTTGAAGTGTTCTGGCATGTATTGATACTACTTGTGGCTTTTTTGGCAATGCCTCTGTCTGCTTTCTTTGTGCTCCATCTTTGTGGAATAATGGTTTCTGATTTAGAAAGGAAAGCATGAATAACCTAGTATGTTATTAAGCAAACATTTATTAGTATTCAGAAAAAAATATGTAGAGGAAGACATGTTTAATGTGCAGAAACAGGAATGTAATGAAAAAGTAAATATATAAGAAATTTTATGTCCCTTCTTTTTTTTTAAAGTCTCTTAGGAGGTTTTCATGATCTAAAACATTTTCTTTTTTCTTCTCAAGTACTTAGCTACATTGTTTATGGAATGCCTTGTTTTATTTCCAGACACAGAAGAAAACTGTTTTATTTCTTCCAAAATGTGTTTCTGTAAATTCAAGTTGATGAGCAAGTGAAGATAGTGCATTTAGACTCTTATTAGTTTAAGGATCTGAATCATAACCTGGATGACCACTAAAATAATATTACTGTCCTTTACTTCAAATCTCTGAATGCCAAAACAATAGCAAGACGTATGCTGTTGATTATATTACCCCTTGGCTTACCCAGCACCTAATACCCTTCAACATAAGTATTGCATTAAGATTCCCCCCCCTCTCTTTGTAGCTCATGATTTCCTGGAAGCTGGCTGTCCATCAGTGTGTATGTAAGATGTGTGAGTGTTTTTCTTTAATATTAAAACTCACTGTAGAAAAAGGAAATGAAAGTGGAGGAGGCCATAGGCGTTATGATCGAAGAGGCCAGGTATGGAGTCACAGCTTACTCGTGACTCCAGGAATAATTAGCTGCCTGGCATTATATGGGAATCTAAAATCAAAGAATGATTTATTTAGACTTGTTTGCTAAAACGAAAACAGGAGCATTACTTTTGAGATAATTGCTTTAGTTATCCCCCAACTCCCCCATCAAAATTTTTTTTTCTGGCAGCCAGTATCAGCATCCCAGTGTTATTATCCATCTATTATTTTCAAGTATGATATGCTATGTTAAAAGAGATGAAATTGGAATATGAGCTAATTACCTGTCATCTGGGTTAATAAATAATACCAAGTAATTATTAATGTATTAATATGTAATTATGTATTTTTACAGTATAGAAATCTTGGGGAAATTTTCAGTGTTTTTCAGTTGATAATGTGCAAGTAAATGAGTTCATGTGATCCTAAGTGAATTAAACATGTTTTTTAAAACAGATTATGAAAACAGTATTGTATTTTGGAATAACGTTTTCACTCTGAGATAGCAGAGCTTGTTTTGTGTGGTAGTACCTCAATATCTTTACATATTTCCCTTCAGTGTCTACATTGTGTTGACTCCTGTAGTTTTAACATCTTTTTGGTATAAATGTTAGCTGTTTTTATAGAGAATAATTGTCCTTAATAGAATAGCAGCTGATACAACTCTGAAAAGATGTAAAACCTTGGAATTATTATTATTTTTGTTTGATAATGACTCTGGTTTGCTTTCATAGCACTACTCTGGAGTGTGGTACTCATGACTTAATTTCTGCATAAATGTGTAGTATTTTTATAGCTGAAGTATACCTAAGCACCAATTTAGCATGGTAAATTAACTTAGATGCTTCAAAATTGAAAACCAGTATATACAAACGTAGTTAAAATTTAAATCTTTATTAGTGAGGATGCACTTAACATTTGTTCAGGAGAAGAGAATATAATTTTCTCCTGCAGTTATCTTTTATGTAATCCATTTTTCTAGCCTTTTCTCAGGTTAATGATATTCCACACCTTGATACAGTCTTTACTTGTTTATTTGCAGTAATATAAAGTGATACCTTGGAGAAAATTAGATTAGATATTCATATCTAATATCTCAGAAGTATTTAACCAGACTTCTATATTTCCTTAAACAGAATCATTTTTATTTTCTGTGCAGGTTATGAGTATGATGCTTCCATAATACATTTGGATGTTTTCAGCTAAGTTCACGTCTGAACTATGGGGTTCCTCCAAGTGTTGACTGAAATTTGTCCTTGAGCATCCCCTCGCTCATCTGTAAGTGAGTGTCTGCACAATTGTGCTTGTATATTTGGGAGTAAACCCAAAATAGCATCAATGTTTGTTTTACCAAAGTATTTATATTGGTAATAGGGACGGTCTCAGTACAGAATGGAAAGAAGGTCACTTGAGGTCTTTGTTACAATTTTACCAATGTATTAATAAGTAGGGGCATTTTGCTTCATGGAAATGTACTGAATGATTTATTTTTTAATGGTATCTTTGGATAGTGAAATTTAAGAACTCAGTGCTTTTCATAAAAATCAAGACTAAGGTTATGATGTGTTATAAAGATAGAATTATTATTTGAAGGAAATATTTATATCAAATTACAGCTTTTTATTATTTTCATTACCCCAGTTCTTTTTAGAATAAATATAATGGGGTATCAGCTCTAGTCATAGGTACTAAACTCTCTAAATGACAAAGGACATACAGGTGTGCACAAAACTTGTCCCTTCTCATCAGAATAGGGGCTGCTGAACACAAGCAGATGAGAAAAGCTATAAGAAAAAAAAATTGTGCAGAATATTTGTGTTATCTAGTGGGGAGAGCAAAATACTGGATTCAGTGATAGAGAATATTTTCTTAAGTAAAAAAGATGGTTAGAGGACCCCCCCCCCCAAAAAAGCTAATTCTACAGAAGGCAACTCGAGTACAGTCTGCTATAGAATCAGTGCTTCTCTGTGAATACTTTCAAAGGCGTTAAAGTGATTCCCAATATTAAATGAAGTAGTATCTAATTGTTTTTAAATAGCACCTTTGTGTTCTTCTATAACTGATTGAGCCTTATAGGTTTTCATTTATGACCAAGAGCTGAAGTATTATAGTAACTTAGGAAACACACAGATACAAAGCAATGTTATACAGTGAACAATGATTCCTCTTTGTCTTTAAGCTTAGTTTTTGGTTTTGGTTTTGTTTTTTTAACCACTTATAAACTTGTTGAATTTTAAAGACAGAGGATTAGATTTTTTTTTTCCTTCCTAAGAATGAATACAGGAAAATCTAAACATATAGGCAAATTGGTTGGATTTTATATCTGTTATTCAACAAAATTTATTGATTCGTATTTATTACTTATATATTAATGGCATTTAAATATATTAAAACTAATTCTCATTTTATATAAAATAGGTGTGTGAAAGGGAGTTCCCTACTTTTGAAAAGATGAAGAAAGCATGTCCTTTCCAACAATAATAGATTATGGTTGATTAATTGAGAAGGTTATACTAAATGTTCTCTGGTGGAAATGGTTCAGGTATGCTTTTTGAGAAATATATCATTCAGGAATAAAATCAATTGAAGTATAGGCAATTAAATTGTAATTCAATGAAGGAAGGAAGTGGTAGGAAAGATGAAGCTAACTCTTGCTGTTTTTCTCTTTAAGAATCTACAGTCCATAATGGAGCCACTGTACTGGCTTTTGGAAGGAGGAGATTCTGAAGATAGGGAGGTAATATTATCTCTTTTAAGAAAATACTTTTCTCTATAATCCTGCGCCTTTATTACATATAAGAACTTTATCTAGGAGGCAGCACTTTCTTTAAATTTGGGGTATGGAAACAATCTGATTTTTCTCTGCTGAGTTTTTGAGCTGCTGTGTTGCGAGGGCTGAGAAATCTCAGCTAGGCCTACTCAGCACCCTTAAAATAGCTTCTTTCTGAGAAATAGCGCTGTGATGGTGGCCTACCCATCCCAGTAGGTGTCATTTTAGTGTGTGGTTGATGTGAACGCATTGAGCACTTGCTTAGCTGTCCTCATTGACCTCCCTGGCTTTGTTGCCTTCTCTGGGGGCACACGCTGTCTGCAGGGCAGTTTACTGTCAGCCACCACCCAGCTCAGAGTGGGAGACTCGCTGGTTGACAACTGGTTCCAGAGCTCTGCCAAGGCGCTCTCCAGGCCCAGCCGGGGCCGTGTAGCGCGCGGGAGGCCGGGAGCTCCGCTGCTCGGGTCCCTTCCCTAGCTGTCAGCTTTAGGTCGCTTTCCGTTTTCTGTGTAACCCTGGGCTGTGGGTAATACTTTCCCTTTCCTCTCACTAGGTTGGCTTGCTGCTTTCTGCAGCTGTTGCAGGGATTCCCATGGAATGGAGGACTCTGTTTTATTCTGGATGAGATCTCTGAGCATTTCTCCGCATGCTTGTTCAGTTTCAAAAACCTAATGTTGGTGTCCAAGAATGAATCTAAGATTCTTGAACAACAAAAATCAAAAATTAGAAAATTTGTATCAAAAAGAAAAGCTTCCATCTTTTCAGGCTCTGCTGCTGCCTTGACTGTGCAAGTTAAATTAAAAACAGAGTCAAATCCTTTTATAAAATATCAGTCTATCATTCAATCATTCTATTTCGAAGAATGTTTATAAAGGCTTAAATTGTGTTATGGTATTTATGTAATTTTTTTTCCTTTTTAAGAAAAATGATATACTTTTCTAGTCATCAAAAACATCTACTTCCCAAACTATAGCTATAGAAGGATGTTAATGGAATAATAAAGGACTTTATGATGTCTAATTATATAATTGGGAAATGGGTAAGCAACAGTAGTAGTAGCTAAAATCAGTTTCTTCTATTAAACAGCTAGTATAGAGTTAAAAACAAAAAACTTCAAGAAGAAGACTCTGTAATCTTTAAATCAAATGACACTTTTGGTTAACACAATAGGAAGAAGAAGCATACCAATCTGAGATTCTTTTATTCTGGCCTAGGTAGAAGTTGGAAGCAGCTGAAGAGCTGTTAACATATGGCCTGGAAAAAAATTATCTAAAAGTGATTACTTGGAAGGCAGTTTACATTTGCAGAACAATTCAATATTATGACCTTGACCAACTTTTACACTTCATATTACTTGGGTTATTACTCCAGCTTTTAAAATATCAATCTATGGTATAGTTTGTGTATGGAATACAAGGGTATTTTTGAATTGACTAAGTCTTGCTTGTCATTCTAAATTGTGCTTCAGTATTACAAAGTTGAAATGTAATATTTATTAATAGAAGGAAAATATAAAATTTAATATCTGGGCAACTGAGACCTTTAAACCTATTTTAAAAGTATAATCTTGACATCTATGACACTATTTTTTTGTCTTTGAAATATAGATAGAATAATGGATTATTCTAAAATTCAAATGTTTTATTTATTAATTCCAAGTTTTGTTCTCTATAATGGACTTTTAAAGTAAAAGGAATACGTGCTTTGGTCATGGACTAATTTATTAAGCATTAGTACACAGAAAATCAGCCTTGATTAATTTAAAACTGTGAAAGGGGGCAGGTAAAACTGTTTTCAGCTGAAATTTCCTAATGCAGCAACCATTTAAATTAAATGTTTGTTAACATAATAGTGATGGCATTTTTTCTCCTCCTCCTCCTTGTGGTTTTGTCCAACTAGATGTTACAGTGGCAGTTGCGCTGACTGTTAAGTGTTTAAATGATGACACCATTATGTGAAGTGATTTTGAAATGAGAGATTCCAGCCAAGAATTACATCTGCTCCCATCTCCTTCAAATCATACTCTCTGGCAGTACAGATTATGATTGATTTGTTTGTGACAGATTGCAGGAAACAGTCATTGATTTTCCAATATTTTACCTTAAAATTATTTACAGTTGTAACCATGGGGAGGTATTTCCATGGGCTGTCAGCCCCTGAAAGACTGGGATAATATTCCCTGCTCTCTGACAAGACAAATTACCTGTAATGAGTGCAGTAGCTGAAGGGTATACTTTTATTTTAAAATATGTCAATAACCCCAGTGACTAAACGAATATTGATTTAGCATAATGAAGCCTGAGTAATGTGAAAATGAGCTTTTTCAAGGAGCATGGTAAAGACTTTCTTTTTAGCTGGTTGTAAGAAGCTTTTCATTCTTTTCAACTAGTGGAGATAAGGAGTCTAATATGCAAACCATCAGAATGATAGTGTTATTTGTGATAACCAGGGTCCAAATATTCTGCCCTTGCTTTTATCGATTCTTTTTCAAGTCTTATTTGGAGTCTTACTTTTAGTCATAGAACAGACACTGGTTTACTTGCTGTTACCTTTAGCCAACTTAATATATTTACCATTTCAGCATCTTTTGCATTAGAACCTCTGGTATTAAATATTAACATATAAGTCCATATCCAGTCATTTGTAGATGACATCATAATTATGTTAAGACATTTCAAATGGGTCTATTGTAGTATTTAATGTGTTGTATTTTATGGTAGAATAATTCCCAGTCCCTGGACATCAGATTGCTTTCACTGGGAATGAAGATTAATTTACTTAAGTCCTGATATTTTAGGCAGCAGTGCATGTTTCCATTTTGGTTAGAATTTCCCCTCCTTTCCAAATGTAATTCTCAACTTTTTAATGGATTAAGGCTCTAAAATATAAGGCCCTTCAAACAAGAATGATAGTAAAGTAGTATATAGCTTTGTTTTATAGTTCATTGAGGAGCCTGAAGATCTTATACCTAAACTGGTATAACCTAACATATTTTATGATAACTAATAGTAATGAAATTTTATTGAAAGCAGTAGGTAAAGTCCCTTTAGAAATTAAAAATGAGTTTTGATTTAAAGAAAATTCAGATGACTCTTTGTGAGTGCTAGTTCTTTTGCAGTACTGCTTCGGGAATGTTGCAATAAAATAAAAAATACAAACAGGTCTTTTAATGGAAAATAGGATAGACTCTAGAACAAAAATTATCATTTTGTTTTTTTTTTTCCCCAGGAATTTGCCTGAGGGTGTGAGACAGATGATTTCTGTTACTCATCCTAGTTGTGTCCTACAATAAACTGGATACTTTATAAAAAAAATACTGGTCCCTTGGTTTCAAATGCTATAAGATTTTAGTTCTCCATTATCCTCTCCTCCAAATTCTTTCCCTTTTTCTATAAAGGACCTTTGAAAATAGAAATATAAAGCTTGCACCATCATCATATGTGAAACTGACAGCCCAAATTCTTCAATCATTAATTTGGTTTATAGTTTTCTAAGTTGATCTCATATCCTTAGAACTTATCATGGATAAGACTTATCTACAGAGTATACCCTCCAGAAAAAAATAAATATAGATCTTTCTCCTCAGTAATTTAAAAAAATAAAGCATATTTTCTTGAGACAAATCTGTGTTAAGGAAAACATCTATGTTGTTGTTTAGTTTATTTTGGAGTAAAATAATAAATATATATGGTAAGCACCTCCTGACCCCATCATGTAGTTTAAACCTGGCTATTCGCCTACATGTGCAGAACTATTTATGTGAGTAAAATTTAATAGTTACATAGATAAAACAAAGCTTTTTCTGGGGAAATTATTCTCTTTTGGATACTCTGCCCTTTTCTATTTCTTTTCTCCCCTTGAAAAAAAACTATCCAGCCCTTGCTCTCCTTTAGGGAAAAACTATTTAGATAAAGTGTTTTTAAATCATGCAAGTCATTGCTTGGGGTTGGTTAAAACATTTATTTTTTTTCAAAAAGGAGGAAATGCCCCGTTTGAAAAACCTTTCTTGCATTTGTATCTATTAAGATAAACAGTTTACTTTGATACGGTACATACCAATCTACTTAGTTAATTTTTTTCCAGAATTCATTTTACTCTGTTTGGTCTGACCTTCTATGATAACTTAATATAGGAACAAATTAGCATATAATTCTATTTTCCATGTGACCTCAACCAGTTGCAGAATTGTACCACCACTTTTGAGGGGGGCAATATGATATTTTATGTAGACTCTAGCATTAAGCATTTGCAAATGTTCACTGCATCCTGGTTCATGTGTTATCAAAAATGTTTAAAAGTAAGCAGTTAGAGGAAATCCTCACCCCTATTACTAAGGTATTACAATGCCTCCAAAAGGTAGCATTTTTAATTAGTATACATGATTGATTAGTGATTTGTCTTCTCCCAAGCATAAAGCAGCTGGGCAAAATTAAGTGAGGTTGGTGAAGTATAAGAAGATATTAGGGGTTGATGGTAACAGTGATCATGACAACTAAATAGATCTTTTTTTTTTCCCCCCCTTTTAGATTCAGCAATCAGTCTTTGAAATTTCCTGTGGTCTGTTCAATCTAGATGCAAAGGACATGGAAAAATCAAGTGCTCAAGTGGTTTAAATATGTTTTGGATATTCTTACTTATAGATTACAGGATTTTTCCAATTAAATCCACAGTTGTCATGCAGAAGGAGGTTATGCCCTTCTTGATCACCAATTTTATTTGAAATGCTTAGTGTTATAGTATGTTACTGAATGCTGTTTTAATCAAAGTATAGAAAAAATAAAATCAATTTTATATGTTGACTTTTTTTCTAAAATGACTTTATTGGACTGAACGAATGTTTATACGTGAAAAAGAGGGTTCCCTCCTGAGAAAAATCCCTTTCTCCATTATAGCAATTCTTCTGGCAATCTGATATCATTAGAATAGATTTAAAATTTAATGCGACCCTATTATATTTATGGAAGAAGAAAGACTTAAAAGGTATCCATATATATAATTTTAATTCTCTATAATAGTCCCTCTGGAATGGAACATTTTCTTTTCAAAAAATCTATTAGCTCAACTCAGGTATGAGGGAAAAATCATCTCAACTGGCAGAGCATTTGTTACGTGTTTAAATATTTGGTTTATATAAAGAAGGTTGACATCCAGTCTTCCACAGAGTTCTTGTATTTGGGCAGACTGAATAATGAGGGGTTGCCTTGTCATTGGGAAATTCCTTGTTGTGGCCTTTGTGGTGGCTGAAGGAAAACGGAAGTATTCCTCTGTGGCAGGCAGGCCTCTGGCTTCTGTGGTGTGAACACTGTCAAGGGGTATGTCTGACCAGAGGTAGCCCTTAGTGAGGGGACTGGAGAGATGCACAGATGCTGATGACACCTGAAGAAGTAGTGGTGAGTGACTGTTTTGTACATGACCTAGTTTGTACTTCATCCACTTCTATAGTTTTCACAAAGTGCTATGATAAATTCTTAAGCTCAGATCTCCGTACAGCAAAGTGAGTTTTTTAGGCTAGAATATTTTTTGTTTTTAGTTAAACTTTATATTTTGAGATAATTACAGATTTCACATGCAGTTTTACTAAATAATGGAGAGGTCCTTTGTACCTTTAGTTAGTAAGTTTCCCCTCTGTAGGGAAAGTATCACAACCTGGATGTTGGTGTCATTACAGCTCAGATACAGAACTTCCATCACCAGAAGGATTCCTCACTCTGCCCTTTTATAGTCATACATGCTTCTCTCCTGGTCCTCTCCTTTTATCTTAGCAATCACTAGGCTGTTCTCCTTTCCTATAATCTTTTTTTTCTTTTCAAGGATGTTCTATAAATGGAATCATAGAGTATATAACTTCTTGGGATTGACTTTTCTTACTCAGCACAATTTTCTGGAGATTCAACTTGCATGTATCAATATTCTGTTCTTTTTATGGTTGGGTAATATCCCAGGGTATGGTTGCCCCACAGTTTGTTTAACCATTGTACCAGTTGAGACTTCAGTGTTGTTTCTGGTTTTTCACTATTATGAATAAAACTGCTGTAAACATGCATGTACAGATTTTTATGTGAACATAAGTTTTCATTTTCCTGGGATAAATGCCCAGGAGTGTGATTGTGGGTCATATGATAATTACATAGAGTCTTTTTAAGACTAGAATTGATTTTGTGTGTATGGAAGGGGAGACAAAGAGAACATCTACATTTTTGTGGTATTTTTGCTTTAACTGGATTTGTCTATGATTTCAAAACATACAGACTATTTTAAATAACTTGTAGCTAGATATAAAAAAAAAAACCATTTTTCCACAAACTAGATTTTCTTCTTATTTCTAGAGAAATACTTTTGGGAAAAGACTGACTTTTGGGGGCGGGGGAAGCAATTTCTGTGTAAAGGAATAAAGGCAGACGTACACTATAGAAAAGGGCTGCAAAGCTGACAGGTTACTTGGGGAAGATTTCCAAGTGTTAATAGGAGACTTACCATTCAAGGGTATATTGTAATAGTTTTTCAATTTGTAGACTTTAACTTTTGTCACTACCGTGTTGCCTGCAGATTTTATTTGTAGAATAAATTCATTATCTTTACAATTTGTGTTCAGCTGTGTTGCGTTTCATGCCCATGTAATTCAACTATAGGCATGTAGGAAGAAAAAGAAGGAAATGAAAAACAAAAAGTGTTTTTTCTAGTGCAGGCATGCTCAACTGTGTCCGACTCTTTTGCAACCAACCCTGTGGACTATAGCCTGCCAGGCTCCTTGGTCTGTGGGATTTTCCAGGCAAGAATACTGGAGTGAGTTGCCATTTCCTTTTCCAGGGGATCTTCCTGACCTAGGGATCAAACCTGTGTCTTCTGAGTCTCCTGCATTGGCAGGTGGATATTTTACCACTAAGCTACCTGGGAAACCCATCTTTTCTAGTACCTGGCCCCTAACATGCAGCTACTTTATATGATGCTTAGTGGAAGAATGACTTTGTTTCCAACTCTGGTAGAAATTATGCTGGTATACTTACTGAGATGTAATGAAGCATATACAAAAGCATCTATGTTATATTTTGGGAGAAACCCTCTGAAAGAATTTTATTTTGCTTTTCTACATACATTGACTTTAGCGCTCTTACTGAACATGGAGCCCCATGTCTTTTCAGAAACCTTCGGACGCCATTAAGGGGTCACAATAACCCTTCCAACGAAAGTCAATGTTATAAATCTTTAATTTCTTCCAGTGAGGCCTTAGGGGCCTCACCTGAGGCCAAGCAGACCCTAATCTTGCAGTGATTCTAAATATAACTTCATTTTTAACCCATTATGGCCGTGACCACAGTGATATAAATTACATAAGACAATAAAATAGCCCTTGCCCTTGAAAATGACCTGGACAAAAGATATTGTGGACACATGGAATCTATAAATACCAGTGGTCACTCTTCATGAAGCCGCAAGGGAAGCATCTCTGTCTAGCCCTTCTAGGCACTGGGACCCCTAATGATAAAGAACAGCAACACAGACCCTAAGCCCTTAGAGTGGCTCTCTTGATTCTTAGATTAGGGGATGGGGAGAGGGGAGAAGTAGAAAGAAACAGAGATAGAGACCAGCATGATTATGTGTTACTAGAAATCCAGGACCTTCAGAATTTAGGAAAGAGACTAGGAAAGCTGAAGCTGCTGGAACAGGCCTCACAGAAAATGGTGGACTTCAACTGGGATGGAGCATATACATGATATGGAGAAAAAAAGACATTAGGAAGAGAAACGAGCTGCAGTGCATTTTGTTGAAAGTGGGGTGCAGTCTGATCTGGCTAGAATTTCCTGCGACATTAAAATGGTTTGTGACTGCCCCAAAGTATACTTAATAGCTTCCTATGTTTTAGGAACTCACCAGAAATGTGGCAGGCTTTCTTTAAGAGTAATATTTGAATTATGTGTATTTGAGAGAAAAAACAAATGGATACTCTTCCTCCTAAAACCAGGGCTTGGAAGTATTTTTGTTATGAAGCTCAGTTCGTGAAAACCAAAATATTTTCTTCCCTTTATATTTGATAAGGGATAAAATATTTTGTACCTTTCTAATGTCTTAAATGCATAACCTATAAGACTATATAATACTTTGAAATGTTTTATTTATTTTAGGGTTAAAATAAAAGAACTTTAAATTCTTTTAGAAGAGCTCCAAAATTAAAACTGCAAGATCACATGTAGATAAAAGTTACATAAAGAACATGTTTGTAAGATGGTACATAGAGCTGATGGCTTTACTAAGAAACTGTTTTGGGCACCCTAAGAAAATACAAGTATTTTCTCTGCATTTTTTTCAAGCATTCAAGGTAGGAAGAGAGCTGAGAGTCTCTTCTAAACATGCATCCAATTTTAGGAGGCTAAACCAGGACTCTCTAGTATGACTGAGGCCCTTTATGTCAGGAACCTGGAAAAAGGAAGCCACCTAAGGGACCATTAGAGTTCTTTAAGTTTATATAAATCATAGACTTGATCAAAGTGGTTATAAAAGACAGCCAAGTTAAGACACTCAGGACTTTACATGTAGTAATATAAACTCCAGTACCCTCAACTGTATACCATTGCCAACAAGGAGACCAAGATGAACTGGGTCTTACGAAAGTGCTACCTGAGGTGGGCGACTTAAAAGTTCCGAATACACATGATGACCCAGCATTGTGGAATCATCTTGTAATACTGTTTATCTAGCAGTTTAAGAAAAAAGAAGAAGAGAAACAGAAAACGGTGCTATTTTGGATAGTTTAAAATTTTTTTTTACAAATACTGCAAATCATAGGTTGGTTACCACTAGACTTCCTGGCTCTGCTGTGATTGCTATATTCTCTGTATATTCTTTTAAAATACCGAGCACTTTATAATTTTGTCTATAATTGTTTACGTATATTTTATCCACAAAGTGTTTCTAGAACAACTTACATTGCTAAATTACCTTAGCCTACCTGCCATCTTTAAGCTTTATGTATGAATATACTGAAGTGTCAATTGCAAGACACATTAGCAGACTATTTAATTTTTCTTTCCAGAAGTCTTTTTATTCAAAACACCTTTCAAATTCAATGCATAAAAATAGCAGGCAGCTCCCACTTGCAGGCTTTTGAAGCTGGAGAAGACGTGTTTTTCACATGAAGAAGCTGAGTCCCGGGAAGATGAAATGCCTCAGTGGTAATAAGGATCTTTTGACTCCAAAGCAGATGCTGCCAACTTGAAGATGCTTGTCCCCAATTCTGGAAATTCAGTCTTCAGATGCTTGTATCACAACCCTATTCTTCATAATATTTTGTTTTACAGACGTCAAAAATAAATGTCTAACTCACCATCTGTATGTGCCATCCAAACGTTTTGGCACCCAGTATTGGTACAAGTAACAAGGTAAAGCATGTTAATCTCAGAACTGGATTTTAACCAAAAGAATGTTCCATGTATTCATTACTATTTATGCATACCTGCTGGGTTTTAATATTGTGATAAATTCAGGGAATCAAATCTGAATACATGTTCCCTGCATTCAACAAAGTGGGCATTGGACTCAGGCCTAGAGTTGAAACGGTGAGCAGCATGCAGTGTTTGTCTTTGTGGAGCTTGGAGCTTAGCATCTGCCATGGCTACAGAGGCATAAACAGACCATTTCAGCTCAGCATGGTGAGTCCTGAAGGAAGGGGAAGCCTGGTGCCTTTGGGAGTCAGTGAGGAGCTTGAAGGAAGCAGGAGATATGTGTGCAGAGATGGGAAAGAAATGAGAGTAAGCAGGGGCCAGGCTGGAAGGGCAGTTTATGCCAGACAGAGCAGCTTGGACTTCATCTTCCTTCCACCAGATCAGCTCTGCATTATGGAGGTAAAACTTTCAGTGGTGATATGGGGAGTCCCATTGGAGACCAGCAAGACTGGATGATAAGAGACTTTTTCAGTGGTTTTTGCAAGTAGTTGTCCAGGAGTGAGATCAGTTGCAGGAGCTGAGAAAGTGTCCAGGGGAAGGAGGGATGTCAGTGGATTGATGTGAGATGTTAAGATGCTAGAAATAAAAGGACATGTGACTGAAGGGTTACAAATGCAGGCAAAGGAAAAGCATGTCAGTGAGGATGTCCTGAAAGCTGCAGCAGTTAGGTTGTGGTGGTGGTGGTTCGAGACAGGGAACCTAAGAGAAGACAGTGTCTTTTCTCTAATGGAGAAAAGACAGCGTGGGCAGATCAGTTGGTTTTGAGGTACTAGTAGAACATCGAGGGGGGGTTGGAACTCACAATCTTGAAGCAGCCAGAGAACACAATCTATTCTTTCGTATCAGTCTATTTTCTTTTCTCTGAAAGGCAGGTTTCTTAAAAAAAAAAAAAAAAGTTCTCTTTCATTATTAAATGTTTTTTCCTTGTGCAATACAGCTATAATGATCCCATGGAAAGCAAGTCTGAGATGAACTGTTCAATATTACTGGGCAACATTTGTTTAAAAAAAAAGATGTGGTTCAGAAGGATATAAAGGAAGGAAAGTGAAAGACTATTCCTGGTGATAGCTGTCCCCTCAACAGCTCAATGGATTAAGTACACTAAATTTCAATTGTGAAGAGGGATTTAAAGATAAAGGGGGAGGGGCAAAACACTTCTAGGAAAAAAGGACTGGAGAATAGTTTTGTTTTTAGAAGCTTGGCAAGTTTGGATTACAATATATGCTTAAGTGATTAGTAAGTAACATTATCTGGATCATATTACTTTCAACATTCACCCACAAGTCCTTACTTAGCATGTACTGGGTATTGGGTACAGGGTACTGGACAGTGCTGGCCATTGAGTAGGGACCACACTGGGCATGATCCTTCCCTCACAGTTTGTAGTCTAGCTGGAGGACTATAATTCTGAAGGTAGCCCTCTGTGATATTTCTGTCTGTATCTGTTTACTATCACTAACATATATTGGGAGGACAACTTACGACTCTCAGATCCCATAGAAATGAACATCTATACCTCCAGAGGGCACTGCGATGTTCACAGCAGGAAGAAAAAGAAAGGATTCAGGCTGCCTTGACTTTCTTCTACCTGTTGAGGTGGGGCT